AAATTCTCCACAGAAGACATGCGTGTGAGGACGTTGCCGACAGGAACTCACGAGTCAAATGACAAAAAAACTAACACTTACTTGCTCGAAACTGACACCGTGACGAAGTGGAGCTCGCGGCTGGAACACGGAGTCACGGGGCACTCGCTGCCCTGAAACTGGCCAGGCTCGTACTACTAGTATACTTGCGGTGCGCGGCGGGTCTACGCAGCGTGAGAACATAAAAATCGGTTCCGCTCGCATGGCAAGATGAAACATTTCAGTCGTCGTGCAACCAGCGCAGACTCCGGATCGGAATGTCGACGACCTGGCTTTCTTTGCCTCTCTCCACACCAGTCAGACGTCTCCGTTGTCGCCTAGGGGAATCGCAGGGACCTCGTCGAAGCCGTTGTAGAATGCTGGGAGGATTCTCCTGCCGAGAAAATGCGAAGCGCGTGGATGTGCTTGAGCGACTCGTTTCACGGCGTAATGGAGGTCGCGGGTTGGAACGACTGAATATAGTCGACACCGATTCGTACACAGCTCTGGAAATGAAGAGTACGTAGCCAAAGTCCCGCGTCGGATCATCATTGCAGCTGAAAAAAATCTGAACGAAATGCGAGCGGAAGCAGGGACTGTTGGCGATGCGGAGTCAGCGTCGTCAGGTGACAATGACAGGAGCGACGAAGACTCTGAATAACCTCAATCTCAATCGTCTGAGTTGCTTTTTTCTTTGAATATAGCTTGTAAACAGGTTAGACAATGCCACGAGTGTTATTCGAAGTCAAACGGAACAATTCCAGAGCTATGCGAAGCCTTCAAAAAAAGTCACGAAGTTTTTGTATACGGAGGAAGTACTATAGTGGTATTGGTGAGTAGTACTATCTATACAGGGCCATGACATGTGTAACTAATTATTGTTGTCAGGCATAGCACGAACAACGTTGTTCTGTACTATAGACCGTGCTATCACAAGTTTTCATGCATGACTCACATTTGTCTTTGTCATTTTCCCTTGGATTGGTACAAGATCTACAAAGTATGGTAGGTAGTGTTCTGTTGGTGAAGAGAGCACTGCACACAGTTTATGAGCACCATGGGTGCATTAATTTTGATCACACCCGAACCCATACTTAATCGTTTCAAGCGATAGACTTTGTCAATAAACTCGTTTTCTAGTATACCATGGCATGCAACGTACAAGCGTGGGGTCAAGAAAGCGTACACCAAAATAATGCACAAATTCTGGCAGGAGAGTAAGAAATCTGTACTTTCTGACCAAGACATCTCTGTACTAGTAGGTAATCGAACGCGTCCTAATCAGTATTCATCCCCCAGATCATTGGAATTCAATTTGAAATCAGCAATTATGGTAAATTCTACAAGACCCTCCATCTTTGTACCAGTGGACACTAAATTAGTATGGCGCGCGCACTGAAAGTGCAGGTAGGTACCGGTAGGTGCAATACAGCGCATATGTAGAGTAAATGAGTATTTGACTATAATAATTATTACGGTACAGCAATGTGGTATGTGTACAAGCACTCATCATACACATTCCATATGACATTCTGTGTTTGTGTAGATCTCTACGCTATGCGGCACACAGGCAGTACACACTATGTACACGGCAAATTGGGCAAGCACGTTCGTTGTCGTCTTCCAGCCTGCGTTGTGAATACCATCAGGCAAAGATATCCAAATCCTGCACCACCTCAGCCTTCTCAGGAGGCTTCCACCTGGAATTTGGCAGGGAAACACGCTTCTCCAAGGCAGGAACATGGAGGTTGCCATTTGCAACCGCTACCACCTCACACATGAGCTTGTCAACATACTCATAGCTCTTTCTGTCGTATAATTTTCTATTTGGCCACAGTCTTCTTTATGCTTTGAGAACTGGACTTTATACCTTCCTATCGCGGTCTTTTTGGTTGTGCTGTGGCGACGGTTGACATTGACGTCGTCAAGAGCTGCGAGATGTGCGTGTCCAATCATCCCCAGAATTGAGAAACGAATGCGTTTGAGAATGTAGTTTGGCATGACACTGTGATATACCTGCATGGCAAAAAGAATGTGGAGAAAACACACTTGCTTAGACAATATACTGCTGTATGAGAAAATGGAAACTTCACCGTACAGGACGACTCTTGTTCTCAATTGCATTGTTCGTTTCATTCCCTGTGTTGCCCATAAGAGACGGGAGCAAAAATGTTGCAGCAGATGTTTGTTATCTTCTGGCGTGGAGTGGCGGCGTCATTAGATGTACACATAGTCATTTCACTAAGTATACCACTACTACAGGATATGTACTATCCTTAGGCTAGCGTGCGTGCGAGTGAGTTTGAGTATGTGGGTGCGTATGTGTGTGTGTTGTTGTGTTTGTGTGTGTGCACGCACACGTACGCGCGTGATGGTGTGAGTGCATGTGTATAATATGTGTAGTTCCCACTGTATTCCTTGCACAATAGGTCTTCACTTACTTTTCTTTCGCATACAACCAGAACCCATTCCTTGTTCGAAATTAGATTTTTTTTGGCCTGGTGATCCCGCAAGCGTGGAACTCGGAGTGTAATATATTTTTGTTTCACTTTACTTGCACTATTCCAAGGCTGTCCAGACTTCTAACAACTGCTCTGAGTGATATGGTATTCATGCAACCATGCCTAGAAGTAGGGTAGCTGTTATAAATAGAGACATATCCACGCAATCAACTTACACTGGTTCAGTTTGGCAGGATTGGTGAGACAGTTCGTCGTGCATGCTGCCTGCACATCGCAAGCAAACAGTTCTGTAACCTTCGTACTTGCTGGGGGTCTGTCTGTTTGCGTCCCAGTTGATGACAGATGTGCACAGTTTGAGTACTGGTATGCGCAAAGTTACTGGGGTAATATCGTTCATCAGCTAGCTGCAGTCGGAGTTGATGGGGTGATGTACTCTTCTGATCCTGATGGGACGTATCTCGCCCTGCTTTCTCAGTTGCAGCTTGTTGAGTTCGCTTTGCTGGAGGCTCACGGTTCGGAGGGCACTGGTACACTGATGAGGGCTTTCCTGGACGGCGTACTCGTCAAAACTCAGCTCTCAAGTCCCTCTGGATCATAAATGCAGCGAGCAAACATAGCTCGTGCTGCGAAAATAGGCTTGAAATTTTCACGACGCATTGCAACATCTCGGCGCTTTGCCAGGTCTCCATCCTTTGGGAATTTGAGAAAACTAACCCCAGGAGGATGATGTGATACTGGCACAATCAACAACACAACAATTTGGCATTGCAGCGGCTCAGACGACTTGGCAAACTACTTTCTGAAGTGACTTTCGTCCTGAAGAAAGTGAGATTCAAAATCCAAGTATTTTCGCACATTGCCACAATGACGTCACACATACATTGGTATGGGGCGTGGCTAAAATTGAAATATCTCAAGAACGCTTTCTCGTAGAGACTTCGGACCAAGACCATTCGACTCAGCGCCCGGAACTCTACAGGCTATCAAATTTTCATTTTTCGTGGAGTTCCCCTTTAAATTTGGCGCTTATGGGGTTTTATCTCAGCTCTTCACATGGATTCCTTGCAGTCAAGCCAACATCTCAGCTCTTCACATGGATTCACTGCAGTCAAGCAGTTCTGCTGAATGTTTTGGTGATGCCGAGATTTTCGGTGATTTTGGAATTGTGGTGGCAGATGTAATTTGTGATGCTTGCATGTGAGTTGTACAGACACATGCAGAATGGTAATATACGTGTTTATTGCCATCCTGCATTTCCCTTGCCCGTTGGACTGTCCAACACCTTGGTGATCACTTGGGAGAGTAGCAAGAGCTGCCAGAACACTAAGTGTTCAATGTGCAGCTGAATGCACAGCCTTGACATGCAAAGAAGACTAGAAACCCGGCATTCGGTAGTTTTCTGCTACTCTGAGTTTTATGCCTATGTCAACATTCAGGTACAGTTGGTTTAGGCGACCACCCCACGGTGCGAGAAAAGGCAGCCGTCAAAACCGCCTAGGTGGTCTTTAGAACAAGGTCCCATACATTCGCGTCATGCCGGATCATGCGCATACTTCCATATACTCGTTTTTGACAGGTGTTGGATACAGACCCCTTTCGTGCAGACGAAGCAGCTATGAGTTACACTCCTCACTGCACTGTCACTTGTCACTTCCACCGACTGCATGTACTCGCTTCTGAGGCAACTCTGTTGTAGTCTTGCCTGCGTACTAGACGGGATAGCACTTTTAGTTGCTGCATGAAGGACGGATATTGCACTTAGTACACTGAAAATCGGTCGTTAATCACGCAACGCAGGCGGTTGTTGTTTCCGGTGCAGTTTCTATGCAGAACTGTCTGTGTGAAGTAGGCTTCTCCCCCTGGCCCCCGCCACACAACAACGACTACTCTTGATCATATCTGCAATACTTCTATTGTACCAAGAAATGACGAGGGCGCAGGAGGAGAGAGACAAACTTGGAGACGACAAAAAGGACAACGGGAAGACTCCCGGGAAAAGACTCAAAGAAAACAACAATGAACAAGCAGTAATATTGCGACGACAAATCGGGACGACCAATCAGGGACTAATACGTACAGAACACATGACCAAGACCAAGACAACCAGACCACGGACGAATCACACATGACTCTCATTCCCAGACCAAACTAGCACTGCGCATGTACAGCATTCACTTGACAGTCTCTCTCACACAGACGGAAGCACATCCTCACACTCTGACAACGCGTACTCTTGCATGCACCACATACCATAAACGTCACACATCACACCATACTCGCGCGTACACCTAGACCAAATATGACATCAGACACTGGACTCCACAAGACAAGAACCAAATACAACAACATGCGTAAATCATAGTCGTAATACAAATTCGCAACATGTGCATGGAAAAACGATCATTAAAATCAGATGGTCACTAGTACCTGAGGTCCCTTAAAACCCAGGCTTTACTGTATGTGTGTCCAGGTTATCATTGGTATATTGATAGAGTGCTGGACTAGGCGGTGACTACCCACCTGAACACCATCAGTTGTTATAACACCAGTACTGTAAGTTGTAGCTGCTGGACATTGGGAAACACAGTTTTCCTGCAGACAATAACATGCATACAACACGCACAGTGTTAATCATATCATACAGGCCAGGAACGGATATTATTATCGTCATGTCAACATTGTACATGCGCTCATTGCCACTGGTGCATGCTACGAATTTGTGCTTGTCCTGTCCATTTTCATTATAACAAGAAGCCAATGCCCCCCCCCCCCCCAGACATTTGTAGATGAAGTGAATCAGCGTGGTGCCAAATATGGAATCATTGGATTGGAACTACTTACTTACCAACTTTCCTGTACTATCGTACACACCCGTTGAACATTGAGTACATCCGCCAGCACCAAGATGTGTGCCAGGCCCAGTACACTGTGGACTAGTGCTGCCAGTAGCTTGACAGACAATGCTACAGAGCTGACATTCGGATGTTGCCGTATTCAAGTAGGTTCCTTCGGGGCACGTGTCCACACAGCTTCCACCTAACTTTAGCTTTGGGCATGAAAGGCATTCTTGATTGGTCTGCACAAAGATGAAGCAAAGGCGAGATCACAGTGACTCAGACTGTATACCACATGCTCTTCTGTCACACTGTACACCATACCAACGACACACGACTGCTGGAAACACAAACACTAGACCAAAGACCTGTGCCAGACCTGTGTCAAACCCATAACACTAAACGTAGCACCACAACATTGGGCTGGCTTAGAAGGCATCCACGATCCCCCCTCCCCCCCCCCCTCCCCCTCCCCCTCCCCATCCCCGTCCACTTCGCAGTACCAGCAGACATACTATCGGACCTGTGAATACTAAAGAGACGGTGACCCATTGGGCTTACCGGTCCTGTGCAACCATAAGGGAAACAAAGTGAATTACAAATACGACATTCACTGGTCTTGGCATCCAGATAGACTGGTCGGGGTTCGTTCAAAGCCCTGAGAGACAAAAAGAAAGAAAGATGACAGACGCAACACCAGGCCACATGAGCACAGAACTATGAAAAGGAGGCCAGTATTAACTGGAGCATAACTATAAACTCTCAGCTGCATGTTGGATATGATAGTGTTGCTGGCAGATTGAAAATGAGAGTGTATTACTAGTATACAGTTGCGCTCAAGTTAAAATATACGCCATGACTAGCGTAAGAAATCATTTTGACTTCCCCGCATCTGCAGGGACGCCACCACCTCTCTGCTGAACCAAGGTAATAGAATGCAATTTTGCAAAGCCCAGCAATCCCACTTAATGAACTAGAAGCATGTGGACTCACAGTGTAGCATCAGCACAGTTCTGGAAACATGTCCCGCCAAATGAGACATGTTTACATTCATAGCAGTCGGTAGGGTTCGGACCCAGACAGCCGTCACTGGAGCAGAGGGAGTTGCACACCGTACCAGCTGCAGAACAGGTAAGGGTAGAAAACCCCCGAAGTGAGATTCAAATGCTTATATGTAAGGGCAGAAACAAAAAACAACGCAAGATTCGAAATGTATATGTACAATTTTTTTAAAGGACAGCCCTCTGCACAATCATGACTGGTTTGGCATACGTCAGTGCTAAAGATATACTTATCCCTCACACCACCCATGAAGTCTGTGAGATACTGGACTTATTCGTGAATCATGTAGAGTAGTGCTGTGTCTACTCAATTCAGCGCCAAGTATCACGCATGATCACATACAGTCATAATCATTAGTCTCAGGCTTCAGTAGCAGTCGTCTGATGACTGCAGTAGCATGAAACTTTGAGTCACGACGAATCCAAACTGGACCTTTTTCTCTTTCTCGTTTGAAATGCTCTGCACTTTGTGCATCGAACACTTTGCCGGCAGTTTGCCAAAATGTACTCGTTTGTACGTACAGTTCTACAAAGTGAAGCCACTACATGTACTTACTAGTCAGAAAAGCAAAATTCGTTCTTTAACCCTTATCCGAGCGTGAAAGTGGACAAATTATCAGTCCCAGTGAGATGCCGTGAGCCATTTTAAAATGGTAACTTTAGTTTCCCTTGGGTGATAATGGCAATCTTGGGCTTTTTGGAAAGCTTGAGCAATGAGGAGTTCTCTAGAAACATTTTCTGGCCTTCATTTGTAAGAGGAACAAAATCCATCTCCAATTCCATTTTTTGAAGAGAAGTGCGGCTCATCGACATGTGGACAATTTGTAGTCTTAAATTTGTACTTTCATGCTAACGAATTTTGAATATACCATCAGGGAAGCCTCCAGGCAAAGTTTTAGGAGGGCAGGATAATCATTGCCAAAGTTACACCATTTGGAAACTTGTTTCGTACGCGGTGTGAAAGCAGACCTCATTCAGAGACCTATAACTTCTTTTTGGACCATGCAAAGACGCTCCGGTCTTTTGTAAATGAATGGTGCGTCTTTCTTGCTTCTTTTGAGACCAAAATGGTGCAGATTCGATCGAGAATAAGTGAGTTACAGCTTGCTAAAGTTATCGACAGATAGTCATCGATTTTGACTGGCCGGTCGGATAAGGGTTAAAATGTTTCAATTCTTGATTCAAGGTACAGTGCATGGTACACATCAAAGTGCCTCTGTTGTGTCCCTCAGTCAAGTCATATTATTATGACTTCTCACGAGCATGCGCACTAGAGATGCATGCTCGTGTGAAGTTGGTTTTGGGATGTTCGGAGGCAGTCTCCACTTGCTGCAGCTGAGTCTGGTTGAAGATAATTACATTCCGAGTTCAGAGCAGTTCAGAGTGAGCCAGTTACGTGTGTGTATAAACTGCATGATTAGATCATTGTATGGTCTAGGCAGGGACCATACAAATGGCGACGAATACTTACTTGCCCTACGCCGCCACCATCGAGCCTTTCGACGGGGGTGATTTCAAAGACTATCGCGAACGCGTTGAATTTTTCTTCTGTGCCAATAGTATTGGTGTCGTGGCGTCCAATGCCTCTTCTGGTGAAAAGAGAGCAGCGGAGAAGAGAATGACAGCGCATCTAATTTCCCTGCTCTCTAAGACGGTCTACTCAACCTTGAAATCCCTGATCCTACCTGACGAGATCGCGTCAAAGAAGTATGACGAGCTTTGTGCTGTACTGGAGAAATACTACAAAAAGAACACTACCCCAACCACCGCCGCTTTTCAGTTTCGCCAAGTCTCCCAAGCTCCGGGTGAAACTACAGTCGATTTTGCTAATAAACTCAAGCGTGCTGCTGTCGATTGTCAATTTGGCTCCCATCGTGACCGAGCCCTCACGGACCAGTTTATTTCGGGCATGGCAAGCTCGACGATACGACGGAAATTGTTACTCTCCAAGGAGTCCGATATTGACACGTTTGAGAAAGTCATCGACCTGGCTAGCAAGGAGGAACTGGCCATTTCCTACTCAAAACAATTCACTGCACCCTCTGCTGCTTCTGCGTCGATCGGGTCTCCCACGGACATTCCCGTACACATGACGAAGGAACGTCGATCCACCAAGCAGCCGATGGCGTCCGGAAAGCGTTGTTTTCGCTGCGGGTCGGATATGCACCTGGCAAACAAGTGTCGACATAAGGACGCCGAGTGCCGGTACTGCCACAAACGGGGGCATCTGGAGAAGGTTTGTCGTACTAAACTGCAGAGAGACAAGCGTGACTGTCACCATGTCATGGGTGAGGATCTTTCTACCTCCGACTCTGACTGTGAAGACGCAGGTGAGAGCGTTCCAATGTATACTGTACGTGATACTACAGGCAGCGTACCCCCGTGTTATATATGCACTCTGATGTAATATATTATGTACTCTGTATGCATTTGTATATACTCATTGCGCATGCTCTGAATCATGGTCTTACTCTACATGTATCCATGCCGGCTGGTTGACTCTGGTGAGCTGCGTGTGAGACTGCATGTAGGGTGTACGTGGATACACAACAAATGGCGACGAAGATGAAAATTTTGTTTTGAGATAATTTGTTTAGTTGAGGGCTTGCGAGAATTTGGTAAACCATGGCCTCTTCAGGGAAGGCCACCCTGGAGCAGTTTTCTGGCGGGGACTTTGCGGAGTACCGGGAACGGCTTGAGTTTTATTTTCTCGCAAATGACATCGGTGTTGTTTCAGCCAGTGCAAACTCATCGGAGAAAGAACGCGTACGTAAGAAGATGATTGCACATCTAATCTCTTCACTGTCGAAAGACGTCTACTCCACTTTGCGGAACCTCTGTCTGCCGGAGTCAATATCGGACAAGACCTTCGAGCAGATTTGTGACCTACTGAATGGATATTACAGAGTGGAGCGTTCCACGATGACTTCTTCTTTTCAATTTCGCGATTGCAACCAGAGACCAGCGGAAAAGCTGGTAGATTACGCAAATCGTTTGAAACGTGCGGCAGTAGCCTGCGACTTTGGGTCGCATTTAGACAGATCCCTAAAAGATCAATTTATGGCAGGAGTCTACAGTCAGGAGATCAAGCGGACGATTCTGACTAGTCCTGACAGCAAGACGAAGAAGTTTCAGGATGTGCTGGATATCGCTTTACGGGAGGAGCGCGCCATCATGTTTGCTGAGCAGCTTACTCCAGGTACTACTACTAGTACTAGATCAACATCTACGCCGTCCGAGTCAGTCAACAAGATGAGAGCTACCACTACCAGTAAATCCAAGTCAGCAAGTGCATCTAGAAAGCCAAATCACTCGCAGGACCAGAAAGGGTCAAAGTCGACGAAGGGCAAGGTTTGTTATCGTTGTACATCTGATTTGCATATGGCTGACAAGTGTCCTCATCGATCTACTACTTGTCGATACTGCAAGAAACGAGGACATCTCGAAAGAGCCTGCATCACCAAGCAGAAACGAGGTGAAATTCACCACGTGGATGACGAACCTGATGATCGAGGTGAGATCGTTTCTGATTGTGATGTTGATGATATGCCTATCTACAAGATTCGATCGGGTAGTGGAAAACACCCTCCGTATACTGTAATGGCGGAAATCAATGATGTTTGTTCACCAATTTGCATGGAAATCGATACAGGTAGTGCTGTATCCATCATCACCAAATCTGATTACGAGAAATTGGGTGCACCAGTGTCGTCTCTTGTAACTCAATCAGTCCAGCTCATTGGGTTTTCCGGTTCCATCATCCCCTGTTTAGGTGAAGGGAAATTTCCAGTGTCAATAAATGGGCAAAAGCACACTGTTCTCTTGCGCATTGTCGATACAAATGGTCCATCTCTGTTGGGCAGAGATCTTCTCTCACTTTTCAAACTAGAATGGAGGGAAATATTCTCGGTGAAGTCTGAAATTGATAATGCTCTTATACGCGCAAAGCTGCAGGAGGAAATGCTTCAGAAATTTGAGAGTTTGTTTGACACGTCAACTGTCGGCAAATTAAATTCAACTCAGGTCACTTTGCGTGTAAATGATTCAAAACCTGTGTACATGAAGGCTCGTTCAGTACCATTTGCAATCCGGGAGAAATACGAGCAAGGCCTCTCTAAACTGGAGGAGGAAGGTGTAATACGCAAAGTTGAATTTTCGAAATGGGCTTCACCTACGGTTCCGGTTCAAAAACCAGACGGAAATGTACGTATCTGTGCTGATTACTCGCGCACCATCAATGCTAATTCGGATTTAGAAAAATATCCGTTGCCTACCATAGACGAAATTCGTGCCAAGTTGAATGGTGGGCAGAAGTTTACGAAGCTTGATTTATCTCAGGCGTACCACCAGCTAGAGCTTGATCCTAAGTCGAGGGGGTATACTACAATCAATACCCACCGTGGTCTGTTTGAATATGTACGTCTACCGTTTGGCATTCATTCAGCAGTCTCCATATTTCAGCGTACTATGGAGACTCTCCTGGCGGGTATCGATGGCTGCATTGTGTATGTAGATGATATTCTAGTCACAGGTCGAAATGATGCAGAGCACAAAAGAAATCTGGAAATGGTTTTGCAGCGGCTACAAGATGCGGGCATGCGTTTGAAAGCCACGAAAACCGAGTTCATGCTACCGCAAGTCTCGTACCTTGGTCATACTTTGAGTGCGAGTGGTATGGCGCCTTCGCCAGGAAGAATCGATGCTATGGTTAATGCCAATGCTCCTACGTCCGTCAGTGAGCTTCAATCGTTTATTGGGTCTGCGAATTATGTTCGCAAATTCATACCCAATTTTGCTCGGATTATGGCGCCACTTTACGCTCTGCTAAAGAAAGATACTGTTTGGAGATGGTCAGATTCTGAACAGACAGCGTTCCTTACGATAAAGAATGCTTTATGTTCCACGGAGGTTTTGGCGCACTATTCGGCGGGTCTGGAGCATGTCTTGCAATGCGACGCATCAGGAACGGGTCTTGGTGCGGTTCTTTTACAGAAAAACGAAAATGGTGATTACCAACCCATTTCGTATGCGTCTCGTCTGTTGAATAAAGCGGAGAGAA